TTTTTTTTTTAGATTTTTATAAATATATATGAAAAAAAAAATTTTTAATAAAATAAGGAAGTTAATTAATTAATTAATTAAAATATATTTAAATGAAAATTTTTTATCAATTTTGAAAATAAAAACTTGAAATTTTTTATTTAAAATACTTTTTGAATTGACAAATGTGTGACTGACGACGGAAATTAAACTCTTGTTCTCAATATCAATATCTTATACTACAAATTGTTAATAATTTTATTATTACTTAGTCCTTTATTTTAATTTTAAATATAAGAAGAAATTTAAACTTATTTTAAAGTTAAGAAGAAATTCAATTCTAAGTTTTCTGTTAACTAAATGAAAATTGAAAAAAATTGTTTGATTTACTTAAAATTCAATGAGATGATAATATTTAATTAATTATAAAGTGAGAAAAAAAAAATATAGTACTGGTAAGTTATAAAACTATTTTTAATTGTATTGTATGTTAAAAAAATAGTTTGGAAAATTACAGTACTTTTGGACTAAAAAAATTTATTGTCTTTTTGAAATCAAGAATATTTTTTTAACTGCTTTTAAAATAATTAAAAAACAAAAAGTAATTTACAATTTGCGTCGATAGTATAAAATAACAAATTATCATTTTTTATAGATTAATTTTGTGTGTTTAAGTTATTTAAATAAAACAATTTAGTATCGTTAAAAAAATCATTAAAAATTGTTTTTGACTCCATATTTTTAATTTGACAGCGAAAAAAAAATTATATTTAGAATTTTACAACTTTCCTATAAATTTTTTTTTTTAAAAACTTCAATTTCAATCATTTAGTCTAACAATGTCAATGCAAAAATTAAATTGCCTGTTAATTATAGTTTTTTTTAATTTTTCATAAAAATATAAAAAAAAAGTATAAAGAGAATTTTTTTAAGTACTACAAAAATTGTCAAATTTAGATTTAAAAAAATTTTTTTCAATAATTCTCATGCTAAAAATAATTATATTAAATATTAAAAAAAAATTGTTGACAATTTCGTTATTTTTTAAAAAATTATCACACCAAAGAATATTTAGAATTTTTTTAATGAACTTTTCTATAAAAAATAAAATAAAAAAATTGTAAGTGTAAATTTATCAAACAAAAAAGTTTTTTAATTGAAATTTACAAAGTTTACTTGACACAAAAATTAAAAAATCTATAAAAAATTGAAAGATCTAATCAAATAATTATTTTCAATTTTGATCTCGACAACTTCTAAAACAATTTTCCACTGACAAGGAGTGATAATTAAAAACGTAAAATTAAACTCGGAGCTTTCTGACCTAAAATGATTAAAATAATCAATCGGATTAAATACGTCCGAATATATATATAATATATTTAATATAAGCGATAGAATAAAATCTAAAACAAAGCCAAAATACGAGATGACAATTTAAATGAAAGTTAACAAAGTCCTTAAATAATTACATATTCCTCTATGCAAATATCTATAAATTTCGCGCTGTCAATTAATAACAATTAAAGAGTATCCCAACTCTAATAACTGATAACCGATAAAACGCTTAACTTTTAATTAACCCGTAATATTTAATTAACCCAACTTTTAAATAATTAAACACATGTCGCACTATTTTATTTTAAACCAAATTTATCTGACCAAAATTTTAATAAATTATTCTGATATATATTAAAAAAAATTTTTTATAAATCTGCACTCTTTTAATTTCTTCAAGTGAAAATTTTTTATCAATTTTTTTTTGTCGCAAAAAATTCTAAAATAAAAAAATACATTTTTTAAGTAAATTTTCTTTGACTAAAAATTATTTTTACTTCATTCTAAATTTCTTCTTAGAAAAAAGTATCAATTGCAAACTCATAATTATTTTTATTAATTTAATATATTTTTGGATGAAAATTAAATTGTAGCTAAATTATATTTGATAACTAAAGACTTGTTTAAATCGAAACAATTGTCTTGTTATTATCTAGCGCGCTTAATTTAATTTATTAATAAAAATTTTATTCAAACTATTCAAAATACTACTCGTAATTTTTTTTCACTTTTAAATATTATTCTACTGATATTTATTATTTATTTCTAATATATAAAATATTTAATGCTTAAATTATTATTTAGAATTTTTATAATCTCTTTATATGAGCCGAAAAATTTTAATCCCACTGCAAATATGTACTTGATAATTTATAATTGTATAAGAACTTTTGTTTGATACTATTGTTAAAAATTTTTGTAAAATTACAATTGTTTTACTAAGTATAAGAAGAATTACCAAACAATGTTTGGCAATTAAAAATTGAAATACTATTTAGTAATTTTTCTATACATATAAAGAAACTTATACAGAAAAAAAAAGTTTTACTTAAATCTTGAAAGTTTTAAATAAAAGCAAAGTTATTTTGGAGCAAAAAGAAATTTAGAATATTTTACATCTTTTAAAATAAATTGTGTACCAAAAAATGATGTATTTTTATAATCTTTATCTATAAAATCTACACTAAATTTTGTATAATTACAAACACTCAATTTTAATTTTAGCTAAATATTTGATCTAGTTTTTAAAATATTTCTGATAAAATTACCATTGTAATTTTTAACTATATGTTAGTTTTGATAAGTAATTATTGTAAATAAAAAATGATACTGAAATTGGCAGAAGTTTTTTAATTGTTTAATTTTATTCAATAAATAAATTAGAACTTAGAATTAATTTTTAGAAATTTTTTCATTCATATTTTTTGCAATTTTATCATTTTATTTAATAATTAAATTAGCGCTAAAAATTAATTTTAAGAAGTTTCATTCAGCTTTTACTTTAGATAAGTTAATAAGATTATCAAGAATCTCTTAACTTCAATATTTAATTTTTTTTAATAAGTATTTTTATAAGTTATTAAAGATTATCCTTAACAATCCTATCAATTCCATTTTAATCAGAATGTTTTCTAAATTTAATTATATAATTTTTTTTAAACTAACTTTTATATTCTTCAAGCTCCAAAATTACATAAAAAAATGTTTTATAATTATTTACTAATTTTTCTAAATTTAATACAAATTTTTTTATATTCCTCAAGCTCCAAAATAACATTAAAAAATTTTCTACAATTATTTAAAAATCTCTGTTAATTATTTAAAATAATTCTCACTTTATACTTTTTTAATTTCAACAAATCAATTTTTTTTTCACTTAAAAATTAACCAATAGCCATTTCTTTTAATATTCACCAACAAAATTACTCTTAATTAAAAATTATCACCTTGATCCTTCCAAAAATCCTACACGTGGGTTTATTTATTTCTTCTCAAAAAAAAAAATAATTAAAAAATTATCTTAATTTTAACTTCTCAAAAAACTCCAAAAAATATTTACTATTTCTTCTTCACACAATTTTAATAAACAATACTTTTATAAATCCCTAATTAATAAAAAAACTTCCTCAAAATATGCAAAAATTCTAACCTCTCGCAAGCACGTGCGCTCTCGGAGCATCAACACACGTGCTCAAGAAATTACCGCTCGCACGTATATAAGTAACATATTTCCGCTAAAAAAAAAAAAAAAAAATTATCCATTGCCTTTTTGGCGCACGCGAGGCCCAAACATCAATAAAACACACATTACAAATACAAATAAAATACATCTATGCAAAGTATTTCTTTTTATATAACCGTCGGGATCGATCAAACAAATTGATTAATGAATTAATTATAATACTAAATTATATGTTTTTTTTTTTTAAACTAAAATATAAAAAATTTACACTTGTAATTTTATTAAAAATTTTTTTTCTAAATTTTCAATTTTTTTTTTTGAACTTTTTGGAGCTAAAAAATTTTTTTAAAAATTTACACTTGGAGTTTTTTTAAATTTTTATAAAAAAATTTATTTTTAAAAATTTTTTTCAAAATTTATTTTAAAAAAATTGTCTCAAATTTTATTTAAAAAAATTTTTTTCATACTTTTCAATTTTTTTTCAAACTTTTTGGAGCTAAAATATTTTTTTGGAGCAAAAAATTTTTTTAAAAAAAA